TCTCCAACAAGTTCAAGAACGCCGAGCCTCAAGGTCAGTTTGCAGCTTCAATGAAGAGAGCGTGGACTGACATTATCTAGCCGTCGATCTCCTAGAGAACATGTTGGTCTTTGACCCGAAGAAGCGTGTGCGAGCGGAGCAGGCCCTTGCCCACCCATACCTCGCTCCATACCACGACCCGACTGATGAGCCAGTCGCGGAGGAGAAGTTCGACTGGTCGTTCAACGACGCAGATCTACCCGTCGACACCTGGAAAATCATGATGTACGTGTACTCCCAGTGCATCACGTAAACGGAGCTAACACAACACAGGTACTCTGAAATCCTGGACTACCACAACGTAGATGCGGCGGCACAGGAGGAGAACAACGGCAGCTAAATACACATAATGTCTACCAATCTCGAGCTACAACAATTTTCAGTCTCCACGACAACAAAGTATGCAGTTGCCGAGGCTCGACGTATCATCTGCCTGGCGCAGGCGGAGTTGCTGTTCCCAATGATTCCCAAGGTCTCGTCTGTTGGACCTATGTGACATGAAGGTGCGCGGTAGATGGGGCATGGGCTTGTCTTTGTCATTTGGATCGCCATGGCTGGTACACGAAAGGAATGTTATGGAGGAATTGAAGGCTATGGTCGACCTAGGTAGGAATGTGAAATCATATTATCAAACATACGTTATTCTTCACTTTGACTCATGAACATGTCTGATTATATTGTATTTCAATGCGATGACAGCATTCGTCGCTAACGGGCCTGGCATCGCAGGTACTCAAGATAAAGACTGCATGATGTAAAGGGGAGATCAGAAAGTCCTCCAGATCTTCTCTGGTATCCGTGGCGGAGGATCTCGGGCGTACTCCCAAACCCGGGAACGGGTGGAGATCGCCGAGGCTTTCCACTAGCGCCATAAGGCTGATTGAGGGACCGCTGTTTCGTCACCGCTCTGAGCGCGTCCGCAACGACTCGAGGACGCGAGCCTGGCCCCTATGGCCCTACAACATTTGTTTGTATTTAAACTGAATGCTATGCGATAGCACTTCTATCGCACGACAATGGCGACTCTCAACCCACTTGTCTGCGTCGTGGACTTCCACCATGCGCGGTAAGCTTCTCCTTTACCAGTAGAGGTGTGAGTACAGAAAGAGACGGAGGAAGGATACTGGGCAACTTACGATACCTTTGTGGCTATCTGATGCGAATGAATCGCTGACTATTCAACGCAGAGGCCCAGAAGTGGAAACATGGCTCGGGGCAGAAGAGGGAACCGACCCAGCAGTAGACAACGACTGGTCGCTGCTGCCCTTCATGGCCCTGAGCGATGGCGCGCATGCCTCTGCCGAAGACTACTCGTACTTTACGCTCCGCCGCGCTCAGACCCCGACCTCACCCGCTACCTCACTCTTCGGTATATCGTGTACGCGACAACTCGACGCAAGCAAGCTCATCGATCGGCCGGCTGAAGTTACAAGGAGTACCGTGCAAAAGGCTGTCGTTGTCATCAGCGATAGCCCGCAGCACTTTGGGGCAATAAAAGCGCAGCTGGGCGTTGTCACCCAGCTGTGGTTCAATCAGAAGTACGTCGAGCTCTCATAGTGCAAGTCGAGGGCGGCGTGAAACTCACACTTCTTCAGAGACTTCACCGATATCGAAATATTGGAGCGCTTTACGGAAAGTCTACCCCAACTGCTTAAGAATCAGGAGGGGCAGCAGGACCATTACTTCGGTATTTCTCTGCGCGAGTTAATCCACGAGTTCAAATGGCAGACTTTGGTTCTATTCAAATGCGCGCTACTTCAACCGAAGGTATGTTTCAAGCTCTTGAAGCCGACACATTGTGGCACGAGCATACAAGGTTACTGACGGAGTGCAGGTCCTCTTCTTCGGCTCCCATTGCGAACGATTATGCATGATGCAATTTGCTCTTATTTCACTGATACCCGGCCTTATTCGCCATTTACAAGATGCTGCTGATCCCAAGTTCAATTCGTGTGAGGAAAAGTGTGTCATGCCCACTTCATTAAAGACATCGGAGCGCGCTTCCTGTCAGTGCATGTTCTCACCAATAGAAGCAATATACTGACAAGATTCAGTGTTGGCATACATGGGTCTCCCGCTCCAACTCTTCGGTACAGGCTCGCTGTTTGGACCATACACACCGCTTCAGCAGCTTGATATACTTGCAGACCAAGATACCAAGTCCTACATCGTCGGCTCTACGAACTCGCTGCTGCTTCAGCAAAGAGATCGATACAGCGATATCCTCATCAACCTCGATGACCACACCGTAAACATCACCTCAGCTGCACTCCGACAAGCATCAATCTTGTCGACGCCGGACCGGAGATGGATGGACTTCTTGACACAGACGATCAACGATACCTGGGATGAGGCAGATCCAGCGCGGCCCAAGGATCACGGATACGCCGGCAGCGAGGAGTTCATTCGCATGCAATTCGAAGAGTACCTGCTCGCAATGCTCAGCTCCGTCAAGTACAAGCTTTACATGGAAAAGAACGCACACAAGGAGAACTTGATTTCTGAAGTAGAAGGAGACCCAGCGAGCGAGTTCTCAAATGAGTGGGTACACGCCTGGATGCAGACTGAGAACTTCCGCATCTGGAATAAGTTTACCGATTCTCACCTTTTCGACATCGTTGATCCCAAACACCCCTGCTCTGGCGGTCTCTCAATGGAAGACGTTCAACGCCGACTAGCACAGTACGTTTCTGCATTCTTTCCATATCCCCACCAGCCCGACTAAAGCACTCACTTAGTCTGTTCTCCAACACAACCTTCCAAGCCGTATCTCTTGGCGTATGTGTGCTGATGCTCGCTTGGCGATTAGGCAGGTAGCAGAAATGCATCTCGACGAACGATTAGAAAAGTCTCGGGAGGTCTTGGGAAAACAGCTTGCAGTGGGCCAACAGAAGGTCAGCTCTGCATACAACCGCCTGTGGGCGGAGATGGAAGGCATGCGCGAGGCACAGAGGAAGAGAGCCGAGGAAGCGCGACTACAGGCTGAGAAAGAAGGGAGGCCCATCGATGATGCAAAGAAGTGTAAGTAAGACAACTCGCTTTGCACGCACACCAATGCTAATGACCAAATAGGGAAAGCACCTCAAGCCCCCGACCTCACGAACGCAAAAGCCAGCGCGGGCGCATACTTCTCCAGCTGGGGCACCTGGGCGAGCGAGAAGAGGAAGGGATGGGGCACAAAGACACCCGTATCTTCGCCTCCGCCGGGTGATCTCAAGAGAGCGGAAGACTTCAAGAGAGACAAGGAGGCGGTTGTTGGTGATACCCCGGCTAGTCCGCCGCCGCCGGATGTCAAGAGGAGAAGCTTGTTCTTTGATGCGGAGAAAGACAAGGAGGGTGTTGGAAAGGAATGAAAGAGTAACGACTATGGCAAGGTATAGAGGATACTAGTGTTCGCACAGTTATAAGAGCGGCAATTTGATGCAGCGATCTATAGCGTTCGTTTCGGCGAAGTAAATATATGGTATCTGACTTGTTCTGGTGTATCTGTCGTGCCTGCTCAATGTGGTCGCAGAATGGCAGTTTAGTCATTAGCGTCTTGGCCGTCTCGCGCCTCATCAGACGTCTGATAGTTACCACTCTTCCTTCTTCCTCACTTCGAATTCATCGCCGCGATGTCAGGCACTGCTCATGATCTTTCCAACTCCTGATGTCTCATCTCGGCGTCGCCTCTATCATGTGCATTGTGCTCGACGCTGGGTCTATGAAGCAGTTGATCCTTCGGGCAGGCACAGGTGTAAGTATTGAAGACTAACATGTAGTTTGGCTCAGTATAGCGTGTTGCAAAGGTAGGTGCGATTCTTGCGTCTAATTCTGACTTTGCTTGTGGTTTCTTTACGTTGCGAGTTCTTCCTCTTCTTTCTTTCCATCACCAGATGCTGTGCTTCTTTTGCAGGCTGGCGAAGGAGACATATATCCTTGACTGCTCACATCGAGCGTTCTTTTCATTTGTACCATCTCACGGGCTTGTATCAAGAGGGTGTTCATTGAGGATATGCGATGTGTGCGTTTGTTCTTGCTCCGGCTTCGGTGGCCACTTCGACCATCCATGCCATGGCGGCTACGAAGCAAGATCGCAATGCACTCAAGTGCAAGTGCATTACTCGATGCAACCTTTTCCTGCCACGGTTGTGTCGCAATTGGCACAAGCGGTCATACTGCTCACCGTCTCACTTCCCTTCAAAACCATGCCAACGCCGCCGGCTGTTTGGGCAACGCCGGCATCGCATCCAAACGTAAACAGGTACCGATGCATTCCACGAGGCTTTTGGTGTTCTCGCTTGCCAGCATATCCGACCTCTCGCTCCCGGTGAACCCCGATTCGGCCTCCGCACTCAGTTCACCGCCCGCGCTCCCGCTCCTCACCACGCGTCTCTTGTTTTGATAAACGCCTCTCACGTTCACCGTTGTCAACAAAGCTGCCTGGAGCACGCGAGACGCGTCTTGGGCCCGAGCTTAAGCTGCTTAAATCTCTGCTATATAAAGGCTTGCTGCCCGCGTCTCCCTCTACCTCCTCACCCCACCCCGCTCTTGAGTTGACACTTCGTCTACTTTGATCAAAGCTTTGCCTTTGACAGCTTCCATCTTCCTTGCTCCTACCCATACCTTGAGATACCTTGCCTCACGATGTCCGGCACATCAACATCTCTGTTCGGAGGCGGTGCGCCATCTGTCCCCGCGAACAACGACGTAGCGTCGGCGGTCCAGCTTCCCAGCGCCTCAGATGCTCCCCTTCCCGACGTTGATTCGTTCGCTTTCGAGCTCGGTAACCTAGTATTGGCCGTACAAGCCGCTACCGATACTGCTAGAGTTGCGCACGACGCAGATCTAGTAGCCGGCAGAGCTACGCAAGCCGCTAGAGTCGAAGCCATCATCGCCAGGAAGGCCAAAGAGGCTGTAGCAGCGCTCTTCGCCAGCCAGCTCAAAGGCAAGTCCAAGTCACATTCAACAGTCTTCAAGTTATGCTAACAGCTTCAGCTTTCATTGAGAGTTTCGGGGAGGAACTCAAGAAGCGCGGATTGTCCATTGATCGTCAGATCTCTTACATCTCAGATGCCCCCGACGTATGCTGACATGTACAGACCTCGGCATCAACCCTTGCACTTGGCTTGCTACCATGTCGCTCCCCTCCAATGATGAAAAGGCCGCCAATACCGCTGATGCTGCCGCTGCCACCGAAGTAAGTTCATCAGTTCTTTCTTCATCTTCTTTTCCTTCTCCTACCATCTTCATTTCTCTTTTCTCGTTCATCCATTCGTATCTTCCCTCGTTTTTCCGATGAATATGAATTCACCACGAATTTAGGGTGTCTTGAGCCTCCCCTTTGAGGTGTTTGGCGAGATCGGTATTCATCTCAGCGTCACGGACCTCAACGAGATGCGTCTTGTCAACAAGCGCATGAAGGAGGCTGTGGCATTCCCATACGGTAAGAAGATTTTTGTTACTGAGAACATCGTTATCTTTCCTACGTTTGCAAGCGTTTCAGCGTTCTTGGTTGGGCTTGGGTTGGATGGTGCGTATCCTGGGACGGTTCGAACAATCACCTTGGTTGGCGAGGGACCGACAACCCCGGAGCTCGGCTACAACTACTCTTGGGAAAATCTCCACATTCTCAAGTTCCCCGGCATGCCAGAGCCGACCGAAGACCAGTTGTATGAGGATGAAGAGATCTTGGAGTTCGCCAATGATGAGCACAAACACTGGAGCCGGGTCAACGAGTCATTCTGTCACACTGGCGCATACCGTACCATGCTCAGTAAGTCTCTTCCCATCTACCATGCTGCAAATTGTACCCCGATTACGCAAGAACAATACAGCTAAATTCTGAACAGGCCTTGTACTCGCCAAGCTTCCCAACTTGAGGACGATTCAGGTTCGCAAGCTGTACCCCGGCGAGCACATCCCTGGTTGGGCCGGGCCGGAGGCTTTGTCGAAGATGTCGTCGTACCATCCATGGACTCCAGTCAACGAGATATACTATGGTGATTGGAAGTACGACGAGGTACACAAGCGTGTCACGATGTGGATAGACGAGTATGGTGAAGAGATGGAGGAGGACGATGCCGGCCCTCAGGCGGGCTTCGAAGAGGATCTGTTCGCTGCTATGGCGATGTCTGGCACTCATGCTCAGGTCTTCGAGATGCATAAAGAGTTGGTCTGATTTGAGACGGATATGGATGATACTGGATGATACTGGTGTGTAATTGGTTGAGATGATACGGATATGACTGCTAGATCTACCTAATAGCTGGTCTCGATGGCAAAATATGATGAAGTTTGCCCAAAATATCTGAATTTTGAGTGATCTATAATGGCTACATCACATCAACAGAGTTTGTACAGAACCCTGATGAACAGGCCAGTTGTACTTCAGTATCTCGTGACCTCAATGGCCATAACAGCAGATCTGACTGAATACCTCCCCACCTCCTCATGAAAATATATACAACACTCAAAAATGTATTCAAGGACATCAGCCCTCGCCGAAGACAAAGGCCTTCCAATTGCTACCCAGCCTCTTTACAACCTCCTCCAACCCCCATCCTTTGATCCCACATATCCTCCGTATGATATCTTCCAACCTCCTATCCATCTCATCCCCCGCAGTATGCAGGTCACTCTCCACCAACAACATATCATCCGGCACCATCTTAATAATATCCTGAAAAGCCTGCGGTGTCTCCTCCTCATCCAACGCATCCGACAGGTTAATCGCCGTACTAAACGAAGCAAAGATCTTACAAGGAATCTCGGGGCGCAGATACTGCGCAAAATTCGACGGAGAACCAGAATATGAATGCAGACATATGCGCGGCGGGTACGGCTTAGGACTGTCGTCCTTCGCACCAGCACCATCACCACCATCGCCATCACCCATCTCATCAGCCTCCAACGCCGCCTCCGCACCCGGATGATCCCTCCCCCTCTTCTTCCTCTCCCGCTTACTCAAAACCAGCCTCTCGCACCCCTTCCACGTCTCAGCCAGCACCTCCAACACCAACCCATGAGCCTGCACCCCATGCACACTAACCGCCCTGCCCATCTCCGCCGCAAGATCAAGCTGTTTCCTAAAGATGATCTTCTGGTGCGTAGGACTACATCGGAAAGGCGTCAGCCGCCTTCCTTCGCGGCCACCCGGCGTGAGATTACTGTTGCGCTTTGCCCACAGATCGGGGTTGCCGGTCCAAGACTCCGGGATGCGGAAGGAGCGGTCGAGTCCGATTTCGCCGATTAGTGCGAAGGGGTGTTGGAGGAGGTGGTGGCGCGTGAGGGCGAGGAAGGAGGAGAAGGGTGTGGGGTCGGGGAGGGAGGCGTAGGTTTGGAGGTCTTCTGGGCTGGGGTCTGCGCGGTGGGGTTGCAGGACAGATTGGTAGTGGGTTATTTTGGCTTGGCCGGTTAGGGGACCTTGGTCTTGTTGTTCATCTTCGCTTTTGGAGTCAGGCGAGGAGATGTACATTTGATAAGAGAACCAGGGGTGCCAGCCGAAGCAGGGGACGATGCATTCTTCTTTTGTCCATTGGGATGGGTTGGCCGATCGGATGCTGTGCTTGTTTGCGGTGGCTAATACGAGGTCTTGGTCTTCGGCTCTGGTTGCCATTACGGTGAGTATGCGCGCTTTCATGTTTTGGATGGTCTCGATGCTTGACATGGTGTCTGTGGGGTGGCAGTGTGCGTCGTAGACTCCGAGGTGCCAGGGGAAAGGCTCATCTTTGTTGGGTTGTGTTGACATCTTGTATCGGATATCTTTGTGTTTCCAAGTTGTAATGTATAGGAAATCGGGTTGCGAATATGCTGTGTTGTCGCGTGAAGCAAATCTACATTATGACGTGCATGTGAGGCTACTCGGGTGATCCCTGTCGGGCAACGCGCTTTCCGGATTACCCCACGACCCCACCATCCATTGCTGCATGCCAGCTTCCGACAGCTCTACAATGCCATATAACCCGCTAGTATGATCCCTTACAGCACTTAATCTAGTCCTCTGACCTATCCTGAGTCGTATTCAGCTTGCCTACCCCAGTCTAGGACCTCGGCAACTACCAGTACTGGCGAAACCTCGGAAGAGCCAACCTCATACCATTTGCTACTTACGGATACATGCGCATGCGTATATGCATAGCACAAAGATCCGCTTCCCTGGATCCATCAGACGGACGAATACTTAACCCTTACATGGAGCATATCAGCCCAATAGCAAACGCCACATTCCGCGCTACTTCATACGCGACCTTTGCGCGGAATGGATTGAGCTGTCACTTTACGCCCTGGCATACGATCGACGCTGAATCAGGTGTCTCACCTCAATCAAATTCCATCGAGACCCACCAGTGAAGGAATTGCGAGCAGCTTGTCTGCCTGATCTTATTCAATGGCCGAGGATGTACTTTCTCCGCATTAGCTAACCCCTCACTAGATACGCCCGTTCGCTTGATAGTGACTTGGGCAGTCTAGTATATGTACTCATCTTGCTATCACTTCGAGTTTACTTCTACCTGTCATTATTCTCCCTTCTCTTCTTCTTCCTGTCTACTTCAAGTCTCTTCCTCTTACTACAATACAACAGTCTATCCCACAGCAAACACAGATAACTAAAACTATCGACACCCGCCAACCTCACCCCAACTCCAAACACATCTCCCACTCCACTCTCCACTATGCCACCCCGCCTACAAAACAAAATCGCCGTAATAACCGGCTCCTCCTCAGGCATCGGCCGCGCCACAGCCCTAGCCTTCGCCTCAGAAGGCGCCTCCCTAATCTGCTCCGACATAACCGAAACACCGCGATCAGAATACGCCACAGACACCTCGCCCAGCAGCACCACCGTCGCCGCCGCCCACGCCCTCGGCGCAAAAGCCCTCTTCGTAAAATGCGACACCACCTCCTCGACCGACATCCAAGCCCTGATCCAGACCGCAGTGCAAGAGTACGGCAGAATCGACATTATGGTGAACAACGCGGGGATTAGCATGGAGACGGGCGAGCATGGCAGTCGGCCTGTGTGGGAATACGAAGAAGCGGCGTTTGAGCGCACCGTCGATGTTAATATCAAGGGGGTTTTCTTGGGCACGAAGTATGCGAGTAGGCAGATGGTGGGGCAGGAGCCGGGGGAGAGGGGGGATAGAGGCTGGATTATTAATTTGAGTAGTGTTTATGGGTTGAGGGGGACTTCGGGGATCTGTAAGTTCTTTGAGTTCCATTTTCGTCCTTGTTGAATATGCGACGTTGGGGCTATGAGTACATGGAAAGCTGACATTCTACTAGCGGGCTACGCGGCCTCCAAACACGCGGTGATGGGTCTCACAAAGTCTGCTGCGTTGGACTGTGCGCCTTATCGTATCCATGTCAACGCTCTCTGTCCGGGTTACACGGCCACGGCCTTCATCTCTTCGCTACTCACACCCGAAGCCGCAGAATCGAAGAAAGAGGTCGAGACGAGACATCCGTTTGGTGGACTGGGTACGCCGCAGGATATCGCGAGGGCGGCGGTGTTCTTGGCTAGTGAGGATGCGGCGTGGGTCACGGGTATTGGACTGCCGGTTGATGGGGGGTTTAGCTGTATGTGAGGTACCGTGGATTGGAGTTATGGGCGGATGGATGGGGTTGCTGAATTAGGATTTGAACGTTTCCTGCATTCTGCTTAAATTGGCATGGTGGCTGAATCAAACATGGTCATGAAGTAAGATCTCGACTGAAGAGCATGATAGCCAGGGGCCTACAATCGTGTAGGGAACATATAGCCTTCCATCACAAGTAGAACATCTTCTGCAAATGAGTGTTTGACCTGTTTCATTGATTTTGTGGATTATACTAATCACTCTGTACTATGCTATTGCCTCTAGGCCGTCCCAAGTCCTCAAAACAACACCCTATGTACACCCAGTCAACGTAAAAGTGACACACGAAGAAAGCCCCAAAGTGTATAAGAAAAAGAGACAAAACAACTGGTTTGGGGAAATCGTCGATTGAGGGAAAATGCTGGGACAAGGAAACCCAAAACGCCGCAGCTATGCATAGCTTTCAAGAGTAAAAGGACCTAACGGAGGGGGTGCGAGAACGGAGTCGACTAGGAAAACGGAGAGAGTGCGAATGGAGAGGGTATCGCCGCCGGGGGGACAAGGCCGACATGTGTAAGAGGTGGTCGTGCTCCTTGGTACTATGCAAAAGGTGGATCAGTCAAGCTGAAGAGTCGGAATGTAGTGTGGGGATATAGGTGGCGTGGTGGAAGGGCCGAGGGAGTGGAGGAGAATGTATGGAGGTGTTTGAGGCACTACCTCGCTACACGGTGGATCAACCTGTGGTGGATTAGCAAAGAACACGGTCATGTCGTCGTCGAGAAAGACTTACCTCAGAGTGCTGATGGAGAAAGTGGCAATCCATGCAAGCAACGCAATCAACAGTGTCGCTGTCAAGCCCTTCTGCCTCTCACAGATGCTCTGTCGATACGGACAAGCATTCGTCCTGTCCGACTCAACGCATGCCCATTTGTCGTCCGTCAGGGCCTGGAAAGCCAAACTAAGATTCGCCGACTCGAAGACGATGAAGGCCAGATCGAGAAAGATCAGCGACATTTTGGCATTGGGCGAGCGTAGGCCGAGGGGCTTGGATGTGTATTCGTCGTAGGTGATGTAGATGGTGTATAGGACGGCTACGATGTCGACGAGTATGGCCATCCAGGTAGACGAGTTGTTGCTGCAGCCGTTGTTGTCCGAGTGGCGGTAGATGGAGCAGGCGAGGGAGAGGGCGAGGATAGAGAAGACGAGGACGATGGCGCGGACCAAGGCGGGAACCATGGGGTGGTTCATGATGGTGTTGTGGAAGCGCATCAGGCGGCGCTTTCTCTTCTCCGAGGTGAAGAGCCAGAAGCCCTTGATGTGCTCGTCGCCGAGGCCGTTGTCGATGGGCTCCCACTTCTGCTCGAGATCGGGCATGTTCTCCTTGAGCCAGTCATCGTCGACGATCTGGCCGCGCGACGAGATGGGGCGGTCGTGGTTGGAGGCCTGGGTGAACTGCTTCCACTTGGGTGCGCTGTCACTGACGGGCGTCGAGAGGGTCACGGGGGCGCCCTCGCGAGCATGGTCGAACTTGCGGCCTGGCACGCTGGACTTGGGGGTCGGGCAGAAGTTGTGGTTGGCATGGCGGACGTTGGTGGGCGTGCGT